TCTTTCCCTTGAATGCTTTAGAATTTGCTGTTCCAAGGAACAGTTATATATAGCATTAACATTTTGCCTCTGAAGTTTATCCCATTGTTATTCTTGGCCATTTAACAGGTAATTAGTTGAAGTTACCCTTAGTTATAGCTGTTCCAGTAGATTTAGGTGCCTAAATCAACAGTGTTGAGAGAGATTAATATCCTTTTCTGATTAAAAGGTCAGTATATACAGTACTATTAATGTGACTATATTCTTATGACTTGGTCTTTGTATTCATAGAGATTTTCCCTATTCCCTCTAGCTTCTGTCACTTCCTATACAGTTTGTAGGCAGGTGTTCCATTAGTGTGTCCCATTGAGCTTTTTCATACTGCCATGTCTCAGAAGTGCCTATTATGACCACATCCATTTCCAGACATTCCAGTTCACATAGTTTTGCATTTATTTATTTTTTTTAGGGGCGGTTCCTATTATTTATGACTAGCCATGTGCCTACTTCTATTTAACTCCTTTTTCTGACACCCTGTTACATTTCTGGAAAGTACCTTTGAGTTCAAACTGTTCCTCCTAGTTCAGCTGTCAATTTGGTCCTATTTTTTATTACCAGATGCAGGGTTACTGTCATCTCTAACAGATGTCTAAGCGCTCCTGGAAGCTGCCAGCTTCCTCCTAGCTTCCAGTTTAAAACAGTCACCCAAAGTCTTATTAGCTTTAGGCACCAGCAGACTGTTTCCACTGTGGTTAAACTGAAACCTACTTTTCTGCATGGATTCTCCCTTCCCTAAAATGTTCCACTCTGGCAATGTTCCTGGCCCATCCAGGAAGAGCACAGACCAACTGCAGACACTTCCTCAGCCTGATGAAGGGTGTTTGTACCTGAAAGCTTGCAAAGAATAATTTTTCTAACTATTTTAGCTTGTCTAATAAAAGATATTGGATTTACCCAAAGAACCTTGTCTGCCACTCTGGCAAGTGTTTTAAAAATCCTTCTCTTTGTATCAGATTTTTAACTCCCAATCTAGTTGCCTCTGTAGGGGCTTATATAAGATTTTGCCCTACCTCTACAAAAAAACTGAGGCAGTCCCTCCCAGAAATGGGGCCTCCTCCACAGGACCATGCTCCTGTAAGGATCATGCCTTGAGGGAAGACCCTTGCTTCAGGTAATTCTATTCTTTGAAGGAGGCATTCAGTGATATTAATACAAATGACAGCCCAGGGCAATCACTCCTCTTTTCCCCTTTCCACCTCCCCATACCTGCCTGTTCTTCATAGAATCATAGAAAAGTAGGGCTGAAAGGGACCTTACAAGGTCATCTAGTCCAGCCCCCTGCTGGATTCACAAAACAGATCTCTACAGTTTCTATACTGATCTCTCTCAAACTCTATTTCTGGAAATGAGCAGAGTCCACTTCTGCAACAAAAATGTAGTACATCAGAATTCCTGTTTGTTTTGTAATACTTCAGACTCAAACAAACAACATTTTGACAAAAAAAAAAAAAAATCCTTTACTTTAAAATGTCTTTACCAGCCCTCTCCAGACCTTCCTTCCTGTACTGCTTAAAGGAATTGGTGCCAGGCACTGGTCCTTCAGCATTCATTAGAAGTCCATTTAAATGTCTTGTCAGGTGTGTACCCTGATGGCAAAAATCACTAAATATTTTTTCTAGTCGTCCCAAACTCAGTGAATCAATCCTGTGATGACCAAATCCCTACCACTATGGTCTGTCTGGGCACGTCTATATGTTCATTAACATGCCTTTCCTACTGCTCATTAAGTTTAATACCTCTAATTTCAGGTAAGGTAAATGCACAGTAGCTGTGCTAATGCACAGTAGCAAACACAATTTTTTTGTGATGCTTAATGCACAGTAGACTAATTCTATTGCACGTTAGTGCATCACAGCAAAATCTGTGCTAATGCACAGTAGCAAACACAATTTTTTTGTGATGCTTAATGCACAGTAGACTAATTCTATTGCACGTTAGTGCATCACAGCAAAATCTGTGCTAATGCACAAAAGCTCTGGAACAGTCCACTGTACACTATGGCGTTTCGAGTAGATACACCCTTTGTGTCTTACAAATATAAACCCCATTACTCTATTTCTGTTTTAATGCATTGCTTATATTGGGCTTTTAATCCATGTCAGGCTACTAGGTTGGCTTAGGTTGCATCTTTAAGACTCTTTAACAGGAAATGGACATCTGCCCATCAATACAGATCTGAAGTCTACTCTGACCACTTGCATTTTATTTTCTTTTATAGGGAGAAAAAAGCTTCGTCTGTTTGAATATCTTCACGAGTCTCTCTATGATCCAGCTATGGCAAATTGCATTCAGTGGGTGGATAAATCCAATGGTGTCTTCCAGTTTGTTTCCAAAAACAAAGAGAAACTTGCAGAGCTGTGGGGGGAAAGAAAAGGGAACCGCAAGATCATGACGTACCAGAAAATGGCCAGAGCACTGAGGAACTATGGAAGAACAGGTGAAATCATTAAAATCCGAAGAAAGTTGACATATCAGTTCAGTGCAGTTGTTTTACAAAGACTCTCTCCCTCTTATTTCTTGGGAAAAGAGACAGTTTATTGTCAGTACATTCAGTCTGATCAAGAATACCAGTGTTCGGATGACTGGATCGCTTACAATAATTACATGTATAACAACGACTATGCATTGCAGCATGCTAACAGCGAGATTCACCAGTCACATTAATTTGTCTTTTATAGCTAAAAATATTTTAGGAGAACTCACCTTGCTATATATTTTTCCTTCTAAAAATATAACACACATTTAAAAAAATATTCAAAACTGATCATGCTTTTCTCCTATAATTATAACCTTTTTATTGGGTCTTCAACTAAAGTAGCCATTGTTGAGTCACATACTAATTTCTATTTTTCTAGAGGAATTGGCCTAGATTCACAACTTTTAATTAGGATCAGAATCTACTGTTAGCCTTTGCCTGAACATCAAAGATTGTATTTTTACATCAGTATTTATAGAAGGCTTTCCTTGATTTCACTGGAAATGTTGTGTATGGAATATGGTCTTTAGTTTTCAAATCAGAGTTTATATGCACCTGTATTCTACTTCTCACCAACAATTTCAGGTCATGAGATAATAATGATAGAGATTCTCCAGATGCCTGATGATCTAAACAACATTTTTCTTTAAGAGAAATATTCTAGACAAATACCCATTTTGCTGTTAGAGCCCACATGACATAGAAACAGGAGGTGCACCAGTGCACCTTAAGAAAATAAATTAACCTCTTGAAATCTGGTGTATTTTTTATGATTCTGTATTTAGTTGTAAAATAATACAGATGTTTTTTGTATTTACTTATATAGTCATAACTTGCATGTTTAAAATACCCCTTTCCCTCTCCTTCAACATGGTTACAGAACTGAAATGCCCAGCAGCCTCACACTCAATTAGCGTGGGAGAAAATAAGTTCAGTTATATACAGAATTAATATACTCTGCTCTGGGTCAGCACAAGCTCTTCTACTTTACCTCTTACACCTGCTTATGACCAACTTACATCACTGTTAATGTCATTGCCAAGTGTGCCCCATACACTTCCATGGAAGCATTACCCAATTCCACTAGATCATTATTAGCTCAAGGTAACTGCAAACCCAAATACCTATTAAGACAAAACTGGCTTGTGACGAGAAGTAATAACGATGACCTGATATATATGATGTTATCAACATGAAATCATGAACAAGTCACTAAAAGACAGAAGAATCTATGTGGGTATGAAAAAATGGGGTTGATACCAATTTGATTCATACTGGTTTTACACCAGTGCTACTCCTGAGTGCATTTACACATGCACTTTACTGTACATTAGACTAATTTAATAAGCAACTAAGCATTACTGTCTACACATGTGCTACAAATAGGGCACAGCAGACTAATTTACTCTGACAGGACAGTCCTATCAGACACAAGTACTATCCTATGACACAGTAAATTACTGCGCTTAAATGCATGTGTAGACAGTGATGTCAGGATTAAATTATGGGATTAGTTTATGTGATGTCGGGATTGGCTGGAGCATATTCAGTTGCATTAATTGCACATGTTGATGTGCCCACTTGGTAGTTTGGTAGTTTCGCTTGATTTGTATCAATATAGGGGAAAAAAACCAATCAGAATATAACTACTGCTTAGTTGTGGGGATGACATTATATTTCATAGTGGACACAACAATAAGGTCCCTACTCAAGAAAAAAAACAATTGAAGTCCATTCTTTAATATGATGGAGAAGCTGCATTACTAGAAACTTGAAATAATTCAAATAATTACATTAAAATTGGGCCTGGTTGTAGTATCCATTACAAATTTGCCTAAACAAGGAAGGTAGGACAGGTTTTATTAATTTGCTGTGTCTACTGGCATTTCTTTTTATTTTAATAAAACTACACATTTTAGGCTTTAATTTAAAGTCTAAAAAGTTGGACTAATCCTGCTATCATGTTGGAGACAGCTGAAATTTCACTTGAGTAAATAATGTAAGATTCTGTTATTTAAATTATTATCCTTTAAAATATACACACACACACAAACAATGTAAAAGGTTATTATTTGAAATTGCATACAATATGTGCAAACTCACCAGTTAACGAGCTTAGTTACCATGCATTTGTCTCCCACTCTACACTGATATTTGTATTCATTGGCATCTTTCAGTTTGTATCATATTAAAAACCTGGTTTGTGTAACATGCTTGTTTCAATCTCTCTTTCTTGACCTCATTTGCTCACCAAGGATATTAAATACTTATTGGGCGTGTCTTTGAACACAGTAGACTCATTCTAGACTTAGTCTACTGTGCATTAATATCACAAAAGATCGTTTGTTTGTGCTAATGCTCTATAGTGCTGATTATGGTACATTAAGTTAGTACCTCCAGGGCACCTATACATGAGCATGGATGCTGCTCTGACATGCTGGAATTCCAGCACATGGAGTTGCCTGGAGCGTGGCAATTGCTGCGCTTCAGCAGCCTCCTGCATCTTGTGTATCAGCATCCCCACACTGAAAAATGGTAGCTGGGTGCTTGAACTAAAGCTTGTTGAATGAGCTTTAGTTTCAGCACCCCCACCACCATTTTTAAGTACGGGGACTCTGATACAGGAGATGCAGTGGTGCTGTAATTAGAGTGGTACTTTAATTAGAGCGGCTCTAAATAAAGCACTGCCCCCGCCTCCCTCGGAGCACATGTAAAAGTGCCCATAGGTACTAAACATAATGCAATATAATTATGGCTCATTAATGAATGTGTAGACGTGTCCATTCCAATTACATGTTGCTTTTTAAAGTTTTATGTGAACATTATGCTTTTGCCTACTGGTGGTTTTACAATCCACGGAAAAAACACAGAAAATTAACGGCAAGGGTGAGAGTATATACTGCCCTTTTTAAATGAGGAAAAATGAACATAAATTGGGGAACTTCAGAGGAGCTCATTGTAGGACATCTGGACAGAGAAGATGGGAGTGTTGGAGAATTTGTGGAGAAAGAACTTTAGGTTAAGGATGTATGGTGGCAACTGGAAAAAGAAGACTGGAGGTTGAGGGATAGGGAAAAACTGCAAAAGTTGAGAATTTTTTTCTTCAGTGGGAGAGTGTGTGAGGAAGAGAGAGAGGGGAGGGAGGGTCTGGGAGACAGACTGATTGATTTGGGCATGTGGAGTGAGTTCAAGGGATTTTAAATTAAAGAGGATTGCATTCCAACTACAAGTGTGACCATGTGGGTTAATTAACAGTGTTATAAAGGAATAAGAGGTCACACTAAAATATGTCATACTTCCAAAACAACCACATAAACCCAGATAGATTCTAGGAACTGATACTTACATTACTGTAATATGGTTACATACTAGAGGTCCCACAGGTATGCATGAATGCTCCTGTGTTATGCCTACATGGAGCAACTGTAGATTGGTCTTTAACCTAGGTGAAAAAGACATAAAATGTTAAATGGCTTTAAGTTGAAGCTTGACAAATTCAAATGGAAATAAAGTTCTAATTTTAATATTTGGGATAATTTATTATTGGAAGAAGTAACCAAATCATCATGGTGAATTTTTCATCACCAGAAATCTTTAAATCAAGATTGGATCTCTTTCTATAAGATATACCATAGCTCAAAAGATACACTGTCTCATGTATACAGTCTCATGTATAAAAAACCCCAGGCTAATTTATTATAATGGTTCTTTCTGACCTCAGAAACAAACAATTCAAACACAATTAAAAAATTATTACCTTAACTATTTTGGCTTGTGATTTCTTCATGGAGAACAAGATCTTTTATTAGACCAACTAGATATTTGCAAAAACAGTCTTTATTTGCAAGCTTTCAGGCACACTGGCCCTTCTTCAGGCATAGGAGAATGCAAATATTGTAAAATTTCTCCTCGATGGAAATGAAAAGTCATGCCTGTAGACCAATACAGTTACAACTTGTATCCCTGGACCACAAGATGGCACTATAAACTTGTTATTTTTTCAGATTGATTTGCTTGGATCTGGTTTGCTTTGTGAGTCCCCCTTTTGGATCTACCACCTGTTTTGTTTTGGCTTTTTTCCTACCAACTTTCTTACTCTTTCAGTCTTCAGACTAGAGTGGCAGCAGTGACTGAATCCAAAGTAACATCTCTTGAGACTCCTACCAGGCAGTTTCAATTATGGAAGATCCTGAAAATACTATAACTCATTGTATCTATCAAATAGAGCAGATGAGTAACATCATTGCTATGTACATTATAGTTTCCATACTCAGTTACATCTGTACACTTTAAAGAGATGTTTTGCCCAGGTGTATCAGATTGCAACATTTGAAAATCACTGAGGTCAGACGCATAATTAATATGGTGTGTGACCTAGACCAGCATCTCTCTAGGGCACTTCTCTGCCCTGCTTCTCTGCCCCTGAACTGTTTTTCAAGCTGCCTGCTGTTGCCCCAACCTCCATAATCTGTGCTGAGGGTAACTGTCTTGCTCTCGTGCCCCGCACTGCTGCAGCTGCAGCCCCTTAGCATTGCTGTTAATGCTTGTCACCACTGACTGCCACAAGAAGGAAATACATTGGTGATGTGTAGGGGGTGTATGGGGGTGCATGTGCACCCCCTGAGATTGGCGGTGCACCCCCTGACAGACCACCCTGCACTGCATGTGCACTGCCGGTCAATGCTTGCCACCCCCTGCTCCCCCTGCCATTTGTGAGCGGTCCCCAATCGCCACTGGCCACCACTGACACTGCCAGCAACATCTGTGGGTGGTCACTGACTGCTGGTCAGCACTCGCCACCCTCCACCCCACCCCCTGCCATCGACACAGCCACAGCCACCTGCGGGAGCTCCCTGCTCGTCACTGCCATGCCCCCGCTGACACCAGCACGGCTGCCGCCTGTGGACGGTCACTGTGCCCCCCCAGCCTCTAGGGGTACACATCATTCATGTCAGTGGTGAGAGAAGTAATGGCTGCAGTAAGGGGGACAAGAGAGAAAGAGAGAGCAGGGAGGACTGCTGCAAGCTCCACATTTGGAGAAGTGAAAGAAATGATGCAGGAGAGAACATGCAGAGCAGGAGGATGTGCCAGAGCGAGCTGCAGTGCAACAAGCAGAGAGTAAATAGGTCCACCCCTCTAGGATGACATCCAGAGCTAGTGCCCTGGTCACCCGCCCCTAGTTATGCTA